TTTGGTTTTACACACAACAAGAACAGCTGTATCACAAGAATAAAATAGATACACTTCTAGAAGAACAGATCACATAACTATATGCATCATAGACAATGTTTTACTACAGTATCTCACAGTATTCTGAACACATACTTTGTCTTGTCCTTTTGGACCCTCTGATGAGCCTTAGGACCCAAACATAAGTTCAGCATGGCAGAAAAGACCAGACAACTATCTAAGATTTCCGAGAATGGATTCATTGTTACTCACTCAAACATCTAAGAGCAGAAATACTAGCTAGCTAGTAAAACAGCTAGTTTTTTGTGGTTTACCTATGTTGTAACAAGAACAAATAATATTTCCTTCCTAACAAATTTTCCTTTTGCAAATTTTTTTTCTTTTTCATGTCTTAGCCAATTATGCAGTAAAACCTGCAAGGGTAATGACAATGGAAAGGAAAGGTATGAAATCTCAGAACGAGAAGCCCTGGACCATCAGAAAGTAAAGGAACTTTAAAATTCGATTTAGGCTCATTTTCTTACAAAATAGTCTCCTAAAAATGGCACATTTCCTTCCTTTTATATTTGTATACAATGTATGTATACATTAGCAAGGATTTCTCACGTCCTTCCTTCATGATGCCAAATCATCTTCCCATTCTGTGTGCCCAGCTCCACGGTCAGCCTCACTCCTTCCCACAAATGACTGAGCAAATGCCTGGAGAGTTATAATCATCTCCCATCTGTAAACTACTCCTACAGCTCCCTCCCCCAAATATTCTGATTATAGAGCTTGTATCTCAGTGATTTCCAGTCACGTTATCATTCAGGCATTGAGGTCCTTGAACGAGGAAAGCTGACCATTTCATTAGAACAAGGATGTGGATTATATGGATGTAAGGTTTTAAAATTAGTTAATACTGCAAAATACTTAATTTACAAATGAACTTGGATACCATGCTAACACTTATGTTATTAATTCAATATTACTACTCTTATTTTCATCAATCATATCAAGTTACATTACGTAAATTTTGGTCTGGCAGTGTGCCCATGAATGCACTGAATGGAAAACCAAAGCTATGACCTGCCACCCCACCCCAATAACAAAACCTGAGTTAGTACCACAAACTTTAACAAAAACAAGAATGGTTTTTGGTAGTGTAAAAAATAGGTGTTTTCAGCTACAGATACCACCTCTGGAAGGTTACTCATTTCAAGGCAGTCCAGTTCAGAAAGAGGCAAAAGGGTGTTCCCAGTTAAGTAGCATATAATAACTTCCACCCAGTATAAATCCAGTGAGTGTCATTTCCACTTTCCACATGGCAAACAATGTATTATGTTTTCTTTAATGACAAGACAGAGCAGAAAGGCCAGGAAACTCTAGTGCCAATGGAAGCCCTGAAATCTAAGGAAATCTTTGGCAGGACAGGACAAGACATCAGTTGCGGTAGGCTGGCAGGGGCAGTCTGAATGGAAATCTTGTTCTGCTCTCATCCCCAGTCAAAGGATTCCATTCACCAGGGCTGTTATATTAGTTTCTTTCAGAAGCACAAAATCTGCAAGTGTGTCATTAAGGTGTCAGGTCACATATAAGTTATACATAAATACATGAGACACTCATAGTTCCTTAAAGATACAATACAGAGAGTCAGCTGATCAGAATGAAGAAGTTACCTTCTAATGGTAAATCTAACCTCTAATTGCTAACTGAAAGATGAGGTGTACCAAAACAGAAAGCAAAAATGGAACCTGTTATACATTGCTAGCTATTGTGAAAAATAATAGATTTTCAGCTTCCCCTGTATTAGCAGTTATTGGTGAATTCTTTTATACTTGTATACAATGTATGAATTGTGTATTTTTATTACAATAGTTTATTGTCAATACGGACATTGCAATTTTTTCAAATAACTAGGTCTACAAAATAACATGCCAAACAATTTATCTATTACTATCTTTAGTTTAACTCCACATGACATTTTAAAACATCATCCTAGGAAAAGTGACATACTGAAATCTCAGAGGTCTGAAATAATTGGATATTTCCCCCATTTCCCCATATGGGGAACATATAAAGGATGATATTCAAGTACAAGGTGAACAGGAGGCACTAGGGAAAGTTTATGGTAAAATGAAAATATCAACCTCACTGAAACCTTTAACAGACACTTCAAAACATTAATATAAAGAACTAGCTTTGGCTGATCATACTGGACTACCCCTGATGCCATTCAGCTGATACAGAGACCGTGTATTGGTTAGATATAAGATGAAACCTAAAGGAAATGTCAATTAAATAAGATGAAATGTTGTAACTGCCTTATCAAAAGAAAATTTAATCATGGAAAGAAAAAGTTAGTTTCTCTTTATTTATTTCATATGAAGAAACTTCAATTTGCCATTCCAAACTGAGAAACAGCAGCATATAATATCCTAAACTAAACTGGCCTCTGGGAACTATTAATTATTAGCATTAGCATCAGAATGACCAGTTAAACAACAACTTTGTTTTGCACTTGTATTAATAGATGCCGTATAAATTAATATTTAAAAAGAAGAGTGCAAATGGTAGAGATAATTGGTGGTGGAAATTCCCAGTGGCAAACAAAATCTGTCCTAATAGCAGCTGAATAAAGTAATGTGTTATTCTTAAAAAAAAAAAAAAAAGACCAGAACTTCTAGTTCTATCATTAATGTGCCAATCATTAAGTTAATATAATCATATGTGTAGTCTACTGCTTATTTATGTAACACAATAACACCAAAAAGGCACAATTCAAATATATGTTTCCTACATACTGTGGCCACTGACTCCTCTGGTAACAGGACTGAATCAAGCATAATTCAGGAATACATGAAAGATAGCATGGTCTTATTGAGGTAGCATAATATGTTGAGATTTACAGTAAACAAAAACGTATACAGACATTTCTTATATCATACTCTGACCATCCAAATCCACGCATCTGTTGCTCAAATTACAAGCCTTCTGCACTGTGGCAAAGCAAAATCTGAGATAGTTAATTTGCTTTTAATAGAGGTTGGGGTGAATTTCAAATAAAGCACACAAGGGAAGCAGTTATCAACCTCTACAACAAATACACAGATTCTGCAAGGAAAAACTGTATTCATCTCCCGTTTAAAATCTTTAAATTTCAAGACTAACTGCCTTTTTCATTTTGAAAGGTTGTACTGACTATCAAGTGATAAAACCAGAAGAAATCCTACACATAACTGCTTCCCTCAATATTAAAATATTTTTCTAATTGAGTTCTACCATAATTTGAATTATTTTAATTACAAAATGATGTGGTAAAGAGCAGGGAAAATAAAACAAACAATAGGTATGTCCAAATTCTCTGAATCAGGTAGTTGCAGCTTCTCTCCTACACTCCCACAGGATTGGCTTGGAAACTAAACATAAATTATGGACAAATGCATTCATCACACGCAAATCAAATACTGGAAAAGAAGACCACTCATAAATGCTTATTGAACCAACTGAAATTATCACATCTCCACCCTTATCTTGTGTTTCTAATTAACAGAAAAAATGGAACTATCTAAACAATAGCATATGGTAACAATGAAAAGCAAGAAACAATTCTTCAACCTCATGTTAATCAAATGGAGATGAAATGACTACATTCTTCTGTATATGTTCAACCATTCTTTTTATTTCTTCTAATAACATGCAGCAATTTCATCCAGCTTTTTTTTTTTCTTTAAGCCCACACATTGTACCGTGACAGAGTGCTGGGATCTTAATCCTATTTTTCCCCATGGTCCTCACAATACTTTTCTGGGATTTCCCAAAAGGAATATTCCATAGTTTTATATAGTGAGTTAGGTTTTTTTTTCTTTCAGTGTTTCTTATCTACCATAATCTTGCAAAAGTGTTTCAATTAACTTGTGTTTCAGAATGATTTTCCAGGTTTTGGAAACAGCATAAGATTACTATTCTATTTAAGCTTCCTTAAATCAAGTTGAACACAAAAAAGATCAAAATATATATAAATGCACAATAATACTGTAAGATTTTATAAATAGGTTTTGAGCTTACTCTCATTGGAACAATGTTTTTAAAGATAAATATACTTCTTGACCTGCACGATTGCAACTGAACAATTTACTATTAATAAAAACCTAAGAGAAACATCATTCAGGTCTCCAATAACAGCATTCATCAGAATGGTGCTAAATAGGAAATGGGCTGATTATGTAAGTGAAATGGTATACAGTTTACCTACAAATGTTCTACAATGCAAAGTGGAAGTCATCAATATTACAGCTGAAAACTTGTTTTTCACAATTTTTCTGTAAAGTGAATTATCATCGTGTTTATGTCTCATATTTCAGCAATACTGTGATATTGTGAGAGAAAAATAGCCGGAAATTAAGCACTTCTCTTTGATACACACTGAGTGTAAGCAGCTCCATGGCAGAGCCAAACTGGAGAAGAAACAACAAAAAGGAATGGTACGAACAGAAATAAGGTGCCCCGAGAGCATAGTGCCTGATAATCTTCTGCATTTTAGAGAAAGCAGTCCAGGCAATTAATATTTTAATATACAGAACTCTAGTTTTTCTCCCTTTATTATCTGAGAAACCTGTGAATTTTTCTGAAACATGCTTCAAACGTAACTTAACTTCCTTGTTGGCCGTGTAAGTATCAGTACATTTGAGACAGGATATAAGCCTCACAGATGCTTTTTGCCATGATTGTCACCATATGAATTATGCTCCTTATAATGCAAATTATTATGGTGAAAAATCATTATTAACTTACATTAATAGCAACAAACTATACAGATCAAATAATGTAGCACTTATTTTTACCCAAATGAAATGAATAGTTTTGAATTAGGCAAGCAATAATGACCTTTCAGAAAAAGTGTCGTCTTTTTTTTTAAATTGTAGGGATCACTCCTGTTGATAGTAAGCACCATATACATTTAAACAGCTAGCATTTCCAATGATCAAAATTACAATAGTGAGAAAAAATATCTTCCTTACCTATGTATACAATTTTTAGATTCGAGATATGCCATACCAGAAGCAGCATCTAATGAAAATTTCACCAACTGTTTGGTTTTTAGTTCATCCTTCTTTTTTCTTAAAAAGGACAGGAAATCACCTCCTAGAAAAACAGACAGATGGACAGTGAGACACAACAGATAGGATACTCACATTAGGAATGCGAGACCAAACAAAATACAGCTATTAGCTATTCTCCTCAACCCATCAGTTTGAGGTTAGCCTAAGAAAAAGGAAGGAACTCACCCTTCAAAATGCAGTTTCCCTAACTTCCCTTAAATACTGGGTGCTTAAAAGTGAAAACTGCACAGCATGTGTACATTAAATACAGACTTACAAGAAAATTATTGACAAAAACAATTGATAATTTGTGATAGATATACTTCTCTAATCACAGAATGGTTGCTGTATGTGTTTATAAAAATTGTGAACAAAGAGGTTAGTTCCTATTAGTTACATGAAAGTAATTGATTTTTAATTGATCATTTGCAGTGGTGTTTCTCAAATTCTACACCGATGTTTTTGGAGGGTAACAATGTGTTTTACCTCTTGGGCAATGTTAACTGCATATTTGACACTGGCAATTGAAGGCCAACAACTATTACTGTGACTTCACAGTCTTCTGCCTTGGAGGAACAAAGTTGCTGTCCTCTTGTATGAGGAAAAGAAGGGGTCAGCATGGAGGATTTCCAAAAGGGAATTTGTGTTTGCAAAAAAGGTTTCTGGAAAACTGATTTAGGACATAGATAAGCAGGGGAGACATTATACAACACTGCAATACTATGTTCTGACTGACACAACTGTATTAAAGATTTTTTCTAAAATATATTTTATTGTTCCAGGCAAAACCAAAAAATCATAGTGGCGCCTTCCACATCACACTGTTTATTTGCTAGTGTGTAGCCAGGCATTGCTCCAGTCTTTGGTTTTTTTCATTTTGCACTGAATTGACCACAGCGATTCTCTTGCACGTGATGCACTGTTACACTATTTTATATACTGCCTTTCTTAGCAATGTGAAAAGACACTATATATTAAAAGTTTCATATGGGATTTTCTTAGGAGGCCATTTCTACTTCTATTTCATACTGTAAGAAATAAAATAAGAGAATATTAAAGAAAAAAGTCTGCTGTTATGAAGAGTAACTGTAATGCCCTTCAAATATTGCGCTGGAGTAATTGTAAAAAGGATTAGCACCTTAACTGCCAACTGCTTTGTTTATTCATTTTGCCTGGGACCAGGTTTCTTTTAGTGCAAACAATCTGGATGTGATGGCTTTATAAACTGTCCCTTAATGCAAACTCCCAGAAAATAAATACCTGATAAACTATAGATAAACCACACTGTTTCCATTTTGCTTGATTCCTTTTTTTGTAAACACAGTAATACTACCGGAAAGCCAGAAAACACTCTATTTTCACAGAATCATATAATAGTCGAGGTGGGCAGGGACCTCTGGAGGTCATCTGATCCAACCCCCTGCTCAAGCAGGGCCATCTAGAGCTGGGTGCCCAGGACCATTGTCCAGATGGCTTTTGAGTATCTCCAAGGATGGAGACTCCACCACCTCTCTGGACAACCTGTGCCAGTGCTTGGTCACCCTCACAGTGAAAAGAGCGTTTCCTGATGTTCAGAGGGAACCTCCTGTGTTTCAGTCTGTGCCCATTGCCTCTGGTCCTGTCACTGGGCACCACTGAAAAGAGCCTGGCTCCCTCTTCTTTGCACCCTCCTTTCAGGCATTTATATGCATTGATAAGATCCCCTGAGCCTTCTCTTCTCCAGGCTGAACAGTCCCATCTCTCAGCTTTTCCTCATAGGAGAGATACTCCACTCCCTTCATCACCTTTGTGGCCCTTTGCGGGACTTTCTCCAGTGTGTCCATGTCTCTCTTGTACTGGGGAGACCAGCACTGGACACAGTATTCCAGGTGTGGCCTCACCAGTGCTGAGTAGAGGGGAAGGATCACCTCCCTCGTCTTGCTGGCAACACTCCTCCTAACGCAGCCCAGGATACCATTCACCTTCTTTGCAGCAAGAACACATTGCTGGCTCTCATTCTTGGCATCCATGAGGAAACCCAGGGTCTTTTCTGCCAAGCTGCTTTCCAGCTGGGCAGCCCCCAGCATGTACTGATGCCTGGGGTTGTTTCTCCCCAGGTGTGGGCCTTTGCACTTCCCCTTGTTGAACTGCATGAGGTTCCTTACGGCCCATTTCTCCAGCCTGTCCAGGTCCCTCTGGATGGCAGCACGACCCTCTGGTGTATCAGCCCCTCCTCCCAGTTTGGTGTCACCAGCAAATTTGCTGAGAGTGCACTCTGCCCCATCATCCAGATCATTAATGAAGATGTGAAACTGTATTGGACCCCTGGGTACACTGCTAGTTACTGACCCCCAATTTTCTTAATACTCTGATTCCAATTGAACAGATGAATAGAATTATCTGATATATTCTTTCTTCAGTGACAAATTTGTGGCAATTTTTAAAAAGCAGTGCATGTAACAGCAAAACACAGTCTATATACGGTCTATTTTCAATTTGTAAGAGTAACAAAGGGTTCGTACAAACCACATAATCCAAACCCATGGATCATCTAGGTATTTGACATTAGACTGCCAGAACACGTTTTTAAAGTGCAAGGATGAAAGCAAACGTGAATGATCTTTTTTACTCAAACACAGCGAATGCTCTCATGTTGGGCCAACCAGCACCCCTCACGTGAGCAAGCAAATATTGCATCCTAAGTACACCAACAGTGCTGCTGGCACGCACGGAGCCCACAATGCCCTTTACTCCCAGGCTGGGTAACACAAAGATGGAAAATCAAGAGCTGACTGGATGCCCTTGACTCTAAAGCCAATTTGAAATACCTTCTGTTTTACAAAAGTTACACACATTACATCTCCAAAGTCCGATAGGGTGAATCTTGGAATACCAAATTTTAAATTCTAATGAAATCTTAAAAGAACAGAATGCTATTGCAAACTGGAGTGGGTAATGATCACCTTTCTTTAATCTGAGAAGTTACTGACATAGTCTGGTAACTGGCAAAAGGTAGGTACAGCCAGAGAGAAGGAAGATAAACACTCCATTGAAACGTGTGTCATTTCTCACCCAGGTAAACAGAATTATTCTGGTTACAGCAGACAGTTAGCAATAATTTTTAAGAAATTCCCCCCTCCAACATATACAAGCTCTTCTGTTTTCTTGTATCTGTCCTTGCACAGAGATGACAAAAATGTCATTTAAATACTCTGTTCAATATTTATTTGAAAGCATTGTTAGTTGCAGACAAAATAAGAGAGCAAAGTGATACACATCTCATTCTGTACAGGATATGTCATTTTAGGTTAAATCTGATTATCCTCATCATTGTGATACCAACAGAGGCTTAAGAGTCTGTCCTTTAACTAACAGAATTACTCTCACTAGTAAATTCTGACTTTTACTGTCTACTGTGGCCAATGTTCCAGCTCTATTCATCTTCACAGAAAAGCATCCACACGAATACCTTCAAAGCTGAGTTAAGAGGATTTCACTAGAAACCCTTTAGTGTAGAACTGTAGCTACGTAATATCTTTATGTGCTTCTTAAAACAAGTTTAAATATAAAAAGCCCTAATTCACTATTTGCAGCACATGGTGTCAGAGCATTATCTCCAGTATAACAGCTGTTGATAAAAATGAAATAAACAGACCAATGAGACTACGAAACAACTGAAACAAAACTAGATGACTACATAATAGTAAGTAATGCTTTCTCTTGTATGTGGAATTTTCATTGTATTCTACACAGCTACTTGTTATTCCACTTAATGGCACACAACTCTACCAGGAAATGAGGTCTGTTCCAACCGCTGTAAGTACTACAGAAATAATTAGACCATTATTGTATTATCACCAAGCAGAAATCGACTGCCTGTTTTGGGTTTACAGGAGGATAAATAACAGTACTGGAGTGTCTGTCTAATACAATAGAATTATTTTACTAAGTAGATGACAAAATATAGTGCGTAAGCAGAAGCTTGATGAGAGCAGCCTGCTATAACTGGATTCCTAAAAACAGCCCTTCATGTATTTCACTGTGAATGTGAACTATTTCTCATTATATGCAGAAATTTTAAGAGAGTGAAAATACCACATATCAGCATCTCCCAGTGTTGGCCATAGTTTATAGCATAAACTTTATGCTATATGTTAAGTAGTATTTTATGGCAATATAACAGTTCACTTAATGGTGCACAGAAAAGTAAGCTAATGTTTTGTAAGAGAAAAAAAACTATCTGTGATCTATGAGAAGAAATCAAAATACAAAAAACAGCAATGAAATATGTTAAATCCGTTTACAAAATATCTCATTATACAAAATATTTAATTAACTCTATCCCAGCCGAAACCAGGACATTATGGCAATCTCTAATAGCATTTATAGTCAACTATGAGTACATAATACAGTGTTCTCCTAAGCTGGTGCCAAAAATGGTACCTACCTACCTGTTCTGGGCACTCTTGGCATTATTCTGATAGGCAGTATTGATATTGAACATAACTAAAATATAGTTTTGAAATTATGGTGGGAAATAGCCCACTAATTGACATCTAAATATATAAACATACATTATTTATATATTTCTATACAGTATCACACAATTTTAATAATGTTATAAATAATAATTATACAAATATTAATAAATGTGTTCACATATTAGCAAATATTAAGAATGGTATGGAACTATATATATTTTTATTTACATAGAAGCTCTAATAAAGTGGGAGAATTTCCTTTATTAAACAGCCTTATTAAGTAGCAGTTTGTTTAAAGAGTCCACTTAATTCTTCTGACAGTTATACACACATTAATCATGCAGACGCAGCCTGCTTCAGGCCATACCACTTAATGGTCATCTAACACAGAGGAGCTCCATGATTCAATATTCATAATTGCTTTATAAGCTATTACAATATTATTGAAATGACCTTTATCTGCACCTGTAAGTATTTATAAATTTGAGGATTCATATGGTCAGTCTTTTGACTAACGTAAGAAATTTAGAGTTTCTTTATCGCCCAGTATCTTCATTCCATATATATTATCAATAAAACAAAC